GATGCGACTCGCCGAACTCTTCCGAAATAACCTTAACGCTGCGCAAGTTCCTGATCACATCTTTCACGGCGAGCAAGCGATAGGTGGCCGCCCACGCCCAGAAATTCTTCAAGAGCGACATGGGCTATGAACAGACCATCAAGCCACAGACTCTCGGGTTCAGCCTGGCTGACTCACCCATTATCCTCCTGGTGTAGATATAAGGGAAACTCGTCATAAACTCGTCAAATGGACTGACGGCGTCGCGCACGACTTCGGTCTCAAACCCGGAGACGGCGTCGTACGGCGATGGTATAGAGCAGTAACTCTGTTGCTGGGTTTTGTGCTGTCTGACGGCGAGTCCTCCAGCGACAGGAACTCCTTATACTTGGAGATCAGTCCTTCCACGTGTATTTGACCGCCCGACATGATTGGAACACGAAACAGGGGCAAGGTGGGGTGGAAAGAAACGTACTGATTACGAACGTCGTCCTCTTCTCGGCGCTGCAAACCTTCCTGCTACCTTCTCAGGAACTACCTCAAACGACAGACGTAGATATCTGGTGAGGCGACCCGTGCTATCGGAAGCGAGAATGGAGCCCATCGGTGCCTGAGCGGAAATCGCAGTGGTGACGCTGGTGCTCTCTGATAACGCACAAAGAGAAGAATGTCCCTTCCCACGAAAGCCTAAGGTGAGTACGGAGGTCAGGTCGGAAAAGGAGGCAAGTTTTGACATGTAGTGTTTCAACGCCGTTCAGAGGCACGACAATAAGTGAGGTCGAAATGAGAATAAAGTGATGGCGACGTGCCTATGGATCCATAATTTCTGGTGCGATACCACTCTCATTATCAGTAACTTCGATGGACTTTAGGCTATAGTTTAAACATTTAGTTTTTAAAGCGGACTTCTGCAGTAGCTTTCAGCTGAAGGGTGCGACGAAGAAATAGAGTATCACGGACCAATATTTGCGTCGAGGGGATTTTCCACAAGTTCTTATGAGACCGTCTGTAGCTCTATAACGACCTTGACTCGAGGCGATATGAGGGAACGAGTGGGAATCGATGGGTTTGATGACTCTGTTTGACCCCGAGCTCGTAGTAGCGCTGTCAGACAATGGCTATTGTGAGACTCAAAAGCGAGATCCTATACATGTTGGAAGGGCTCTTTCCTAACGTGTCCAACGGCGGTCGTGGCCCACAGGCGCACGCGAATGGACGAGCGCATCATTGTCACACGGCACATACGCACTTCGAAGGTTCGAACTTGGTTCGAACGTTAACACGTTAACATCCAAGAACCAAGACCGGTCGTACCCAGCTAAGTTGCCAGCCTACAGTAATGCTAAAACAATATCAAATGACTAGGAGAAGATGGTGACAACCTGACAGCCTGAGCTGAAGGTGGGTGTCAGACACCAAAAGTGTCGTTTGTCAGCTGTGGCCGCTCTACCCTCGGAGACGCTCGTGCTGACAATTCTTTAGGTAGCCACCCCCCGCTGGGCCGCGCCGCCTCGAGCCTTGAACGTAGACTCGTCGCAGCCCGATACCACATAGAGGGATCAGCCACTTGTCTACGTACTGGCGGTCAAGCAGTCATATCCAGGTGAGTGTCGCGCGGGGACTGAACGGATCCCTACCTTGGCTTCTATGGCCTCTCTGTCACCAGAGTACTGTGAAGTAATTGCACTTCCATTTCTCGCCTCGCTTTCGTTTTCGGTCCACTCGCCGCCTCTCGTCCGTTTTCCGTTTCCGACATCCTACCCACACACACGTCAACAAAATTCGGAAGGGGATTATAACACCCATTTTTCAGTGATCAAATCGAATTACATCAAAATTACATCACACTACAATCGGTTATAAGATTACCTTCCGAGTATTCCCTTCCGATTTTTGCGACACACGCTACGATTTACCCACCATGAGCGTTGAAGAGCCCTTCAAAATTACCGTCCCAGATGATGCGCTTGCGCTGCTCAAACGTAAGCTCGACGACACTCGCCTGCCAGACGAGGTCAACGCCGCCGAGTGGGCCTACGGGGTGCCGCTCGCAGATATCAGGCGGCTCGCTAGCAGGTGGAAGGATGGGTATGACTGGCGCACCCACGAGAGTGAGCTGAATGCGCTTCCCATGTTCACGCGCACCTATCGCGGTGGACGGGTTTGGCGAGCTGAGCGTGCATTATGTGCACAAGCAGAGTGACGCTAAGGGTGCTATCCCGCTGTTGTTCGTCCATGGTTGTACGTCGTCTTTCGTTTCTATGCCCTGTCGAGTCGTTGTTAAGTCGTCGTACATGATGTACAGGGCCAGGAAGCTTCCTCGAAGTGACGAAGATACTACCGCTCTTGACGGCGTTCTCTGATGATCACCCGTCGTTCCACGTTGTTGCCCCAAGTCTTCCCTGGGTATGGGTGGTCGGAAGGTGTCCTGAAGAAGGGCTTTCATGCGAAGCACTATGCTGAGGTAAGTCGTATTTGGCCCTGTAATCTTCTTGCTAGTGCACCGACCACCGTACGGCCCAACCCAGCTGTTCAACAAGCTGATGATATCGCTGGGCTACACTGAATACGTGACGCAAGGTGGAGACTGGGGGCATCTAGTAAGTACCCCAGATTCTCCGTAGCACCTCTCCGAGACATCGCGATGACGGCAATCGATCATAGCTGACACTTACCACGGCTTCCATATACGGACCTAAGCACGTCAAGGCATCACACACGAACGTTCCCATGTAAGCCGCTCTAACAACACCCCAACTGTTTTCAACAGATTCTCATCCTCGCCTTTCCAAAAAAATACTAGTTGCGAGCCGCCCAAGTTCTTCGAAAATCCCATAGTTCTACTGAAGTGCTTGATCACGTCCTTCACGTCGCGCGAGCGAGAGGCAGTAGTCGCTTCCCAGAGCTTTTTTAAGAATGGCATGGGCTACTTTGCCGAACAGTCCACCAAGCCACAGACGATTGGGTTCAGCCTGGCCGACTCACCAGTTGGCCTGCTCGCGTGGATATACGAGAAGCTGGTCACGTGGACAGACGCGTATCCGTGGACCGACGACGAAGGTGCATTAACGATTAAACGCCTACCATATATCAGATCTAAACCTAACTGAACTGGCCCCGCAGTTCTTACGTGGGTCTCGATTTATTGGTTCTCGCGCGCGGGGCCTGCAGCGTCCGTCAGGATCTACTATGAGATCTCTGACAAAGTGATCGGTTTCCCAAAGACGACCATTCCAGTCGGCCTGTCCTTCTTCCCCAAGGAGCTCGTCCGGTTCCCCAAAGTGTGCGTTCCCACGCCTTCCTCTGTCTATACTCGACTGATGAAGGACAACGGACGGGAGCCAGTTTGTTACGTTCCAAAGGAAGGATCGTGTTCGAGTCGGAACACGAGGTTGGCGGACACTTTGCGGCCTACGAGCAGCCCGAAGCACTGGTGGACGACCTTCGGAAAATGTTTGGCAAGTCTGGACCTGCAGCAGGTGTCGTTCCGGGGTGTACCGGCTATTAAATGGAAAAGAGAAAACAAAGTCTGAACCTCCAAGTCTCCAGAGAGTGTGACTGGAGCCCAAATACCTTGCATTAGTTGTAAATATCGCTTCAAGTTCTCTTCTGCTAATGAATACAGCAAGCGGTTTCGGCCAGAGTCCGAGTCTGCCCACGACAGAGGTGATCATTTGTCCCACCAAGTCCTCACAACCACTAGCCCGGTGCAGTGAGGGAGCTTTGCAATCGCGACTGCTATTGACAGGACTAGAGTCCAGTGAGAATACTAGATTTAGACTCAAGGGTCTATCCCTCGTAGCCCTCGTACTTTAAATCGAATCCTCCCAGTACGGTGGCAGAATACACAGCCGAGTCAAGCTCTAGTGATGATCAACACGACTTTCCACGAAATTCCTTGTATCGCGACAATCATCAGGAAAAACCTACTTTGCTAATTTGAGATAATTTGAGATAATTTCCATATTGAGTAAGAATTATCGACAAATGCCATTGGACCCCCCCGCGAGCTACAGCGAGGGCCGTCACACGACCTGACGCACGGTTTAGGAGCACATCGTCGGATATCGGGGCTGAGAGGGGAGAGACCAAGGTGATCAGAAAAGGGGAGGGGAACTACGGGGACAACGATATGCGTTGGCGTTGGCGTCGGTCCGGATGTACAGTACACCGAGCTGAGAGTAAGGTGAAACCATGGATAACGATGCTAAGCTGCTACTGTTTCGACCGTTAGGACTGCTGTTATAGTGCAACTACCTGTCGTCCTCGACCTGCAATTCCTCCGACCACTCAAGTCCTGTCGTGCACAGCCTAGCCGTAAGCGCCTGTCTTCTATTTGTTCATAACCATGATTGGTCGCAGTTGTTGCCGTCATTTGGAGAGGTTACGGCCCGCGCGAGTTTATTAAGACGAGAAACGGGGTTGTTTTTCCGAGCGCACGCGAGGTCCGCGCTTCAAGCCGGGGTTCGCTCGATGGGAAGGGAAACAACTTGTTACATTAGGGGCTCCTTTTGAGCTCCTTTTATACTACTCGTACAAGTAAAATACTTTGTAAAGTAAGCCGAGAATTAGTGACGCAAGTACAGCGTCACCTTCCTACAGTAGGAACAGCCGAAGCCGAAAACCGAAGCGCTTGAATCGGTAAGTAGTACACACGCACACACACAAAGCACACTATAGTAACACGCACATAACGAGACGAGAACACGAACGCGAGAGAGTGAAAGGCCGAGAGAAACAATGGCCGTAGTCAAAACATGAATGAAACAAAATACCTCAATCCACCATTATTTGCCTGCACTGATTTTGGACACGCAGAAAGGGATAGAAGTGTATTGTTAAAAATTTAGCAGTGCAGGCGCCATCCAGAATGCAGTCGACGTTTGGTGTCGCGAACAGGGGAAGCCTCTACAACTTGAAATGAAAATATAAACACAACTGGCACCACTAAAACGGAAGAAGCTGATGGATTGGTAATCTGTCGCACGCCACAAAGGTCGTGGCAGTTGAGTGTACACTAGGACTGGGTAGCTCAGTGGTAGAGCACCTGGGACATGTCCAGGGGGCCTGGGTTCAATCCCTCGTCTGGTGACATTTAAACGGGAGGGCCCTGTTGCGCAATGTGCCGCCAGACTAGGAGGGGTGTGATAGATTGGTCGTCTGTCACATGGTCACAAATGTTGTGACGGTTCAGTGAACACCAAGGCCGGGTGGCTCTTATAAGTGGAGCACCTGGGATGCGTCTAGGGGGCCTGGGTTCGATCCCCAGTCCGGTCATGCGTCAAACAGTAGCTGGCGGCGACTTTTTCGAATTTCGAAACAGAAACGCGTTTATTTTAATCTTTTGGGAGCTCCCAAACCAATGGGAAATGGGAAGGCCCATTCTCTTGAACATTGTTTCGAGTAAACTGTCAAACTGTAGGACAAGTACGGAGAGTACTTGTGCAGGGTTCCACTCCTGGCCCTTTTGAAACAAGAATGATTCTCCATATGCCGCCTGAAATACGCACAGGCCTAGTGGCTCACTCACATTGTTTGTCTAGGTGTCGCTCCCACGAAAAATCGCTTATGTGTTCACGGAATCTTGCACGGAATTGTGCGATGCATAGTAATACTGTAGCGTTGGATACCTCTATGGTGCAGTGTATGCACCAGTGGTGGAAGTGATGACCACTTCTGAGCAGAATACTGCCGCGGCCCCGCGGTTACTGAACGGATCTTACTCTGTCACTCAGTGTTGGGCCCGTCAGACTGACCCCGGGTCGCGAGAGTCAAAGTTACGCAAACCTGACTGACTAAACTGACTAGTCAGAGTCAGATAAATCGTGAGAATAGATAAGATAAGATTGTTCAATCTGCGATGCGGGGTCCACGAGATGCTTCAAGTTGCAACAAGCAACGATCTGGAGAGTGCCAGAGGATACATCCGGGTTGAACATCACCCCCTATACTGGCATGACACACCCTTTTGGGAAACTTCCTACGAACCTTTGACTAGTGTCTGACTAAATGACTAAAATATAGTCGGCTGACGAGAGTCAGCGCCTGACTCAGTCAGACTAGTCAGGCCATCGCCGACTCATTCCGACTGTAAAAGGACAGAACCCTTATATCTCGAACGGTTTCGAACCACTTGCCGCCTTCTACCTCTCTTTACGGACTCTAACCTACCCATACTCTACGATCGGCCAACCATGACTTCTGAACAGCCCTTCAAAATTGCCGTCCCGGATGACGACCTCGCGTTACTCAAACGCAAGCTCGACGACACTCGCCTGCCAGACGAGGTCAACGCCGCCGAGTGGGCCTATGGCGCGCCACTCGCAGATATCAGGCGGCTTGCTAGCCGGTGGAAGGATGGGTATGACTGGCGCGCCCACGAGAGCAAGTTAAACGCGCTTCCCATGTTCACGCGCACTATCACGGTGGACGAGTTCGACGAGCTGAGCGTGCATTACGTGCACCAGCGGAGTGCCGCCAAGGGTGCTATACCGCTACTGTTCGTCCATGGTTGTACGTTGTCGTCATCTCCCATTACTATCCTTCCAGGTCGTTGTTACTAAGTCGTACATGATGCATAGGGCCGGGAAGCTTCCTCGAGGTGACCAAGGTACTGCCACTTTTGACGGCGGTTTCTGATGATCACCCGTCGTTCCATGTTGTTGCCCCAAGTCTTCCTGGGTATGCATGGTCGGAAGGTGTGCTGAAGAAGGGTTTTCAAGCGAAGCATTATGCCGAGGTAGGTTGACTTTGGCCCTGCGATCTTCTCGCTAGTGCACTGACGACTGTACCGCCCGACCTAGCTGTTCAACAAGCTAATGATCTCGCTGGGCTACACTGAATATGTGACGCAAGGTGGAGACTGGGGGCATCTAGTAAGTATCCCAGATTATTAGTAGCACCTCTCCGGGACATCGCGATGACCGAAATCGATCGTAGCTGACACTTACCACGGCTTCCATATACGGACCTAAGCACGTCAAGGCATCACACACAAACTTGCCCCTGTAAGCCGCTCTGACAGCACCCCGACTGCTCTCCCCGGTTCTCATCTTCGCCTTTCAAAAAAAAAAAAAAAGATGCGAGCCACCCACATTCTTCGAAAATCCCATAGTTCTACTGAAGTGCTTGATCACGTCCTTCACGTCGCACGAGCGAGAGGCAGCAGCCACCTCCCAGAGCTTCATTAAGAATGGTCTGGGCTACTTTGCCGAACAGTCTACTAGGCCGCAGACGATTGGGTTCAGCCTGGCCGACTCACCCGTCGGCCTGCTTGCGTGGATATACGAGAAGCTGGTCACGTGGACAGACGCGTATCCGTGGACTGATGACGAAGGTGCATTAACGATTAAACGCCTACCATATATCAGATCCAAACCTGACTGAACTATCCTCGCAGTACTTACGTGGGTCTCGATTTATTGGTTCTCGCGGGCGGGGCCCGCAGCGTCCGTCAGGATCTACCACGAGATCCCAGGCGGAGTGACCTGTTTCCCCAAGACGACCGTCCCAGTCGGCTTGTCCTTTTTCCCCAAGGAGACCGCCCAGTTCCCCAGAGCGTGCGTTCCCATCCCTTCATCTGGCTATAGTTGACTGATGAAGGACAATGGACGGATGTCAGTTTGTTGCGTTCCAAAGGAAGGATCGTGTTTGAGTCGGATCACGAGGCTGGCGGGCACTTTGCGGCTTACGAGCAGCCCGAAGCGCTGGTGGGCGACCTTCGGAAAATGTTTGGCGAGTCTGGGCCTGCAGCAGGCGTCGTTTCGGGTTGTACCGGCTATTGAATGGAAAGGTTTGAACTGAATGGAGTCCAAGTAAATTGAGTTGGTTGTAGTCCTCATCACGCATAGTCGGTGTAAGAGCGAATATCGGAATTGACTCCTGTGAATCGAATCCCTCCAGTATGACGATAGACGTACACATATGGGCCGGGCTCTATTGATGATCAATGCGACTTTCCACGCAGTTCCTCGAGGTGTGACGACCGGCATTGGACCGCGCGCATGAGATGCGGTCACACGACCTGGTGCGCCATTCTCCCGGCCCTTTTGCATCGAGAACAATTCGCCAGATGCCGAGTGAAACAGGCTTGGTCACTTCTTGTGTGCTGCTCTCTGGCGTCTGTCCAGGTGTAGCTCACATGATATATCGCTTGTATGTTCACGGAATTGTGCAAAGCACGGTAATGCCGTAGCGTTGGACATTTCCATGGTGGGGTATACGCGCTGATGGTGCAAGTTCTAAGCCGAATACCGCCGCGGCCGCGGGTCGCTGAATGGTCCTTACTCTGTTCGATTGTAAAAGGACAGAACCGCCATATCTTGCCCTGTTTTCGAACCCCTCGCTGCCTTCCACCGCTTTGCGGACTCTAACCTACCCATACTCTACGATCTGCCCAATCATGGCCTCCGAACAGCCCTTCAAAATTGCCGTTTCAGATGATGACCTCGCGTTGCTCAAGCGCAAGCTCGACGACACCCGCCTGCCGGACGAGGTCAAGGCCGCCGAGTGGGCATATGGCGTGCCACTCGCAGACATCAGGCGGCTCTCCAGCCGGTGGAAGGATGGGTACGACTGGCGCACCCACGAGAGCAAGCTGAACGCGCTCCCGATGTTCACGCGCACCATCGAAGTGGACGGGTTCGGCAAACTGAGCGTGCATTACATACACCAGCAGAGTGCTGCCGATGGTGCCATCCCGTTGCTGTTCGTCCACGGTTGTACGTCGTCTCCCGTTTCTTTCCTGCCAAATTATTGTTGACTCCTACATGGCGCGCAGGGCCCGGAAGCTTCATCGAAGCGACGAAGGTACTGCCGCTCCTGACGGCGGTTTCTGCTGATCATCCGTCGTTCCACGTCGTTGCACCAAGTCTTCCTGGCTATGCATGGTCAGAAGGGGTATCGGAGAAAGGCTTCCATGCGGAGCACTACGCCGAGGTGAGCTGCATCTGGCTCTGCGATCTTCTCGCCAGTGCACTAACGACCGTACCGCCAACCTAGCTCTTCAACAAACTGATGATCTCGCTGGGCTACACTGAATACGTGACGCAAGGTGGGGACTGGGGCCATATGGTAAGAACCCCACATTATAGGCAGCACGTCCCCCAAATGACCGCAACTTTGAACCCATCGTAGCTGACACTAACAACGGCTTCTAAATACGGTCCTCAACATGTCAAAGCGTCTCATACGAACATGCCCATGTAAGCCACACTAGCAGCACATCACTGCATTCCGCCGATTCTCATCTTGATTCCTATCGTCTCTTGTAAAAAAAAAAATTAGATGCGACGCGCCCAACTTTCGTGACAGCCCCATAACATTTCTCAAGTGCCTGATCATGTCCTTCACGTCGCGCGAGCGGGAGGCGGCAGCTGCTACTCAGAGCTTCTTCAAGAGTGGCACGGGCTACTATACCGAACAGTCCACTAAGCCGCAGACGCTCGGATTCAGCCTGGCCGACTCGCCCGTCGGCCTACTTGCGTGGATATACGAGAAGCTCGTCGCATGGACAGATGCGTATCCGTGGACCGACGACGAAGGTGCGATAACCCCCAACCACATATCGGATCCAAACCTAAACTGATTTCGCAGTTCTTACATGGGTCTCGATTTATTGGTTCTCGCGAGCGGGGCCTGCAGCGTCCATCAGGATCTACTACGAGATCACACATGCGGACAAAAGGGCTCGATTTCCCAAAACATCCGTCCCGGTCGGTCTGTCCTTCTTCCCCAAGGATCTTGTACATCTCCCAAGAGTGTGCGTCCCTACCATACTTTCTTCGGTTTATTCCATGTTGGACTGACCAGGGGTGCATGACGGGGGCGAGCAGTTTGTTACGTGCTCAAGCAAAGATCGTGTTCGAGTCGGAGCACGAGGTCGGCGGGCACTTCGCGGCATATGAGCAGCCTGAAGCACTCGTGAGCGACCTCCAGAAAATGTTCGGCAGGTCTGGACCTGCGGCGGACATCGTCCCTGGATGTAGCGGCTATTGATCGAACAGAAGGAATTAAGATAGTCGCAACCAGAGGGTATTGTATAACTAGGATCCAAGTATCTCGTATTGGTTTTAGTCCTTTTCCTTATTCACA